TAGAATATATAGAATTATATAGAATAAATATAATTAGTGTATGTAGAATAGTATATATATAATTATATATATATATATATAATGTATGTAAAATATGTAATTAGTATATGTAGAATATATAGAATATATATAATTATATATATATGTAAATATGTATGTAAAATATGTAATTAGTATATGTAGAATAGTATCTATATAATTTTATATATATAATGTATGTAAAATATGTAATTAGTATATGTAGAATAGTATATATATAATTATATATATATATATAATGTATGTAAAATATGTAATTAGTATATATATAATTACAATATGTACCTTACAATACATGAGGAAACTATCTTCAACAAGTTTATTAAGATTTAATTGTTTTTGAAAACTTAGTTCTGGATTTCGAAGTAAAATTGTCGACACTATAGTGAGTAACTGTAAACAAGAGTATTGTATATTTTTTCCGCAAAAATAATAATACTTTTGTACTCCTCATTCAATTGGAAATGTAAATGTAAATAAATAAGAGAAATACCTCTACAATAATTTGACGATATTCTGGTAATTGTATATTGTGAAGTAAAGATTCCACGAACAAAGCAAATGTAAGTTCCGAACGAGTCATGTTAGACAAAGTAGGTTGTTGAGGTAATTCTCGTCCATTAACACAAATACCATCCGGACAACGCATTAATACTTCCCAGACATGATTGTAAAAATGTGCGGGTACTCTACATAAACAACCTTCAATCTTTCTGCGCCCTAGAACTGTAAGTCTAATACAACATAAAATTAGTTTATGTATAAAAATAGATGAATAAATATTATATGAAAAATAAATTGGTATACTTTTCATTGTTGGCCCAGTTTTTAACCGTCAATACTTTTATAAGAAATTGACGAATCTCAAATGGACTATAGTTCTCAATTGGTTTAGGATTTTTAACAACCATTTGTAAATAAAGTTTTATTGCTTCTAAAACCCATCTATAAAAAGATAAGAAGAATTTAATAATAATTATTTAAACGTTACATTTTTTAAATGTTGAAGATACCCAATGAGACATACCCAATACGAATTTTTAATATTCCTTTAAACATTTCTGGATTTGTTCCAATAAGTCGACCGCAGTACAGTAATACTTCTTGTTGAAGTACTGCTTGAACTACATTATGTGGTTGAATTGTAGAATACATAACTGACTGAATTTCTACGGGTGTCATTGGTTTATCAAATACTGTTTCTTCTTGCCCAATTACTCCAACTGTTATCTAATATTAGTAAAGAATAAAAAATTATACTTGCACGTTAAAATATTCAAATAATTCAATGAAAATACCTGTTTTCCTTTAACAAGAACTCCTGTTATAAAAGGACTTATACTATCAACTGTATGATTCAATAAACTGCTACAGTAACGAACAACCATCCAATATCTAAGGCACCCTGCTTGTTGATACAATGATCTTAAGTAATCTCCAACTAATATAAAATATTAATCAAGATAAATATCTCATATACCTATAATCTTTAAATAACAATTTATATTGGTACCTGTCATTCCATTAATGTCATAGTTAATTCCTTCCCGCATCAGCAAAATGCCATAAAGTTGACACAAAGTATATAAGCTTTTATTGTTACGAATTTCATTTAATATATTATATAATGGTTCATTTACGTAATGCTGAAACATGAAATAC